GCAGACAGGAGGCCTCTGATTGGTCAAATCTACATCCGCTCTACACTATGTGTGTTTCCTGTTTGGTATCTTACCGGCTTGTTTTGTTTGTATATATATATATATATATATATATGTTTTTTTTTTTAAGTGGTCACACACTTGTTTGGCATCTACTTTCTCAAGAATTTTAGATAAGAAAGGAAGACTGGATATAGGTCTATAATTGACTAAGTTATCTTAGTCAAGCCACAGTTTCTTAAGTAAAGGTTTAATTACAGTTACCTTAAAGGCCTTCGGTACATATCGCTGTACCAGGGAGAAATTAATCACATCTGAAATGGAGGACGAGATCAAAGGGAATACTTCCTTAAATAACCCGGTAGGAACTGCATCTAATATAAAAGCTGAAGGCTTAGATGAATGCAATAGTATCAACAAGGGGGGTGAGGTTGGTTGAGGACCAAATGCAGAGAGGAATTAAGCAGAGATGTGTTCTTGTTGATTTAATAAATAACCGAGGTAGACATCTAAAAATACAAAGAACCAAAAAACCCTGAAAACATCAGAAAAAACTCACATGGGGAGCCAGAGAGGAGGAAGCAACTACCGGTAACAAACACAAGGAGCCAGCACTGAGTGACTGCAGAGGTGGTGTATGTAAGGTGAACAGAACAAAGGATGAGCTAATGAGCTAAATATGGAGCAGGTGTTGCACCATCATTTGTGGGTTGAGAAATGGATGTTAAAGTTTAAGCTCCTGTTTCACTGGTTCATTTCAATAGATAATATAATTGAGATAGAAGCTGAACAATTGACAAAGGGAGATATGAAGACAAATATAACCGAGTTTGATGTTGAAAACATATTTCATGCAGATAAACCGCACATTCCATCACTGCTACCCTATCCACGGCTTATACGGACAGACTCTGAAACTTTAAAACTGAGAGAACTACTAAAAGCAGCCAAAACAATCTGTAGATATTATATATCTTTCTAAGGTAAACTTTTTTATGTTGTCAAAAAAATAATAACAATTTTGTCTTCCATGTCGTTCTTTTAATTGCTAAAGGTATGATGATGAGAAGATAAAAGCACAAAAATTGAGGTAAGCAACAGATTTTTGCAGGATTTTATTTTAAAAAATATTTCTTTTTTCATCATGATTAAAAGTATTCATATTGGTATTTTTTTTATTTGCTACAGACAGGAACAAGAGCAACACCAGCAGAACAAGTCAAATCCTCCTAAAGAAAGGTGACCTATTTTTGCAGAACATACAGTGTGCTTCCTGCAGCTATGTTATGCAAGACCCTCAGATCTCTTTCTTTAGATCTATTTCAGTCATGCCATTAATCAGTTATGGAACTCCTGTTAATTTTTTGTGAATATTTGTCAGCTATTCATTAGTAAAACATAGCTAATAAATAATAATGGCTAATTATTTCTTTGTTTGAATGTTGTTTTCAGGCCAAAGTCAGTGTTAGCAGATGTTAGCCGTGACATCTGACATTAAGGTAACGGGTCCCAGTCTTTCAACTGTAAATCATTAAGTCTTCTCCCAGGCTTGTAATGTCAGCTCTCTGTAACTTATATCTGACACTCACAGGAAGATTTCTCTTTTCACATACATTTGCTTATGTGTGCAGAAGACACGCGATACAGCAAATTAAATCCTTGGGGAAGGTCCATCGGGAGTCTTGGATGCCAACATTCCTGAAGATCGATTCATGTCTTATACTATAAAGATCCTCAGCTAACAGCTCTATTTTCATTGAATGTACAAAATAATATAAGGACCTTGCAAAAGTATTCATTGACGTTGGGCCTTTTGTTTTTTTGAGTTCTCATGGTACAGATCTTATGATGTCTTTTGTGAAGAAGGCAAAAAGAACATGACTTTTGTATTTCTGTAGAAGCAAATCCACTAAAAGTGTCCTATACATATCACTTCAGTCGCTTTGTCCCCGGAACCCCAAAATAAAATCCAGCGTAACCATTTGGCTTCAAAAGCCACCAAGCCAATTAGCAACTAAGTATACCTGAGAGTAATTTAACATTGGTGTCAGTCAAACCTTTTATGAAGCCCTAGGTGGTTTCTCAGAGAACATTAAGGAAGAACCAGCATGATGAAGACCAAGGAACACAGTAAACATATCAGGGACAAAGATGTTGAGGACTTTAAAAGCAGGTTTAGATATTGAATCAAACAAAAAGTCTTTAATTTCTGATGATGAATGACAAGACTACTCTCTCACCAAGACAAGGCTATGCATGTTGAAAAAAAGCCACGGGAAATCAGGTTCGGATTTCTGCCCAAGTCATGTAGGCAACACAAGAGAGACGTTAATGCAAAACAGGTTCTGTGGAAAAAATAACACATTTCTTCAGCAATATTGGAGAAGCTACTCAGAGCTAATAAAAATAGCTAGAGCTAAATGCAGTACA